TATTTTTCAGAAAAAAGGCAAATGATGACGTAAGTACAAACCCTCGTGAAACTAACTTTTTTTTACGCGTCACATTTCCTTTCCAAAAAAAAAAAAAAATAGTGCTGCAATTTTGGAGCCTAAGTTGCGCTTATTAAAGATTCAAAAGCCGGTAATAGACAAAAATTGAGACAAGTGCAGAACAAATGTATTTGAAACAAAATCTCCAAAACAAAAAATCTCGGTCTCTCCTTTAATCGAATAATCCACGTACCGAGTGTGTTAATAAACCTCCTATGCTTTGAGAGCTTAAGGTAGTAATTGCGAAGGATTAAAATTATAATTCCGCCTGCCTTAAATTATTGACTGCTCGACAGGATTTATTTTAAAATAATTCCATTATTCATGGGCCTTGAAAGAAATGCACGCTCAATCGTCATTACGTTTCCACATTTTGCCCCAAATAATTTGAGAATCTTTTGTTACAATGAAAAAAAGTCTCTCTGTACCCGGGCCAGGCGCTTTTGAAATTGAAATTTTTCCCCGTCTTTGTAATGCAAACGAGAATTCTTATAAGGAGGATATTATATAAAGACTAGAAAAAAAAATGCACATTGGATAATTATTTCTATTAAAACTTGGACACAACTCTTGACAAGGTAATTGAACTAAAGTATAATGGCATTAAATTTTGAGTCTGTTATAAAAGTCGAGTATTTAATTAAAATTAAAAAATGGAAATAGGATTATAATTTTTCTTATAGAAGAGGATAAAAGGTTGAAAATAAAATTCCACACAGTGATCCTTTCAAAATGATTGGATATTTTGAAGCCAGACCTTTTATAATAATGAAACTCAAAAGTATTCAAATATAATAATTAAAATATTGGTACTAACAATTGCCTAATTTTCCTACTGTTTCAAATAATTTGAAATTCGGTTTATTCCATTTGTTTGTTTGCCATTCGATATATTTGTGGGTTTTGTTAATTAGACAGTACAGAAATAATTATTATACGTGACCTATATAAACATTGAAGGCTATTTGGTGTATACGATTTCAAAGAAATAAATATTGAATTTCATCGAGTATAAAAACGCCTTTGTCCCTCTGTCTATGGTTTAGTTGGTTTTTTTGTTTTATTTCTTCGACCAGAAACCGATGATGATTGGCAAGGTAGGAATTTCAATATTATTCGGTTTGTTTTAATCGGGTTTAAACGTAAAAATGCATGATAAAATATAACGGGATTTGATAATGTAAAATTATTGGCCCTCTTCCCATTCTCTCTCAGTTAACTGCATCTAGGATTATTTTTTGGAAATTTTATTGGGGCTTTTATTTACGATTACGATCGGCAATAATGGGGATTTTGGGTCATCCAATTTTGCGTGAGAAAGTACCTATTGTTGCAAAATATCACTATTCATCACAAAACTGAAACTTATTAAATTAGTAAAAAATTAGTATGTGATAGTTACTCTAATAAAGAGTGAATTTCCACTTGCAGCAATTCACTGATTTAGTGTAAGTTCCATTTTTATTATGAGCTCCATTCACTCTTTCCAAATTTTTCTCATCAATTTGCATTCCTTTTCAGGTGGTTATCGTACTTGAGCAAGTTGTAACGCAAGTTCAAAATTGATAAAACAAATACATTTTTATATACACTTTCTAGGTACCTACATATTAGGAGCGCCCAGATTTGTATGCCTTTCTTGTTTGAGTTTCAGCTCTAGTAGAGCTAAGAATGTGATTTTCACAATTTCCCAATCTGAAAGGGTCAAACAAGGATTATAGTCCTTTGAAAACGATAAAATTCAGTGAAAGATTCAGCTTTCTATCTATAATAGAGAAAAACTTATGACCTTTCAAAGTTTTCCAAAAATCTAAATCATAAGGTAGGTACCTTCTTACTAAAACGATGAAATTTCAAATTTTTTTTTGTCGAGATTTTGTATCCTAATGGTCAATCAACATACCCCAAACTCCATACACAAAATTGTTCTCAGATTTGAAGCCGAAATCTAGGAAAAAAGGCACTCAGAAAAATTGAAAAATGGATAAATCACCCTAAATTACTTAATACGATTTTATCTCAGGAAGTATAAGTACAAATGAGCTGAATTTTTCAGGGATTATAGTCCTTTGAAAACTATAAAATTCAGTGAAAGATTCAGCTTTCTATCTATAATAGAAAAAAACTTATGACCTTTCAAAGTTTTCCAAAAATCTAAGTCATAAGGTAGGTACCTTCTTACTAAAACGCTGAAATTTCAATTTTTTTTTTTGTCGAGATTTTGTATCCTAATGGTCAATTAACATACTCCAAACTCCATACACAAAATTATTCTCAGATTTGAAGTCGAAATCTAGGAAAAAAGGCACTCAGAAAAATTGAAAAATGGATAAATCACCCCAAATTGCTAAACACGATTTTATCTCAGGAACAATAAGTGCAAATGGGCTGAATTTTTCAGGGATTATAGTCCTTTGAAAACGATAAAATTCAGTGAAAGATTCAGCTTTCTATCTATAATAGAAAAAAACTTATGACCTTTCAAAGTTTTCCAAAAATCTAAATCATAAGGTACCTTCTTACTAAAACGATGAAATTTCAAATTTTTTTTTGTCGAGATTTTGTATCCTAATGGTCAATTAACATACCCCAAACTCCATACACAAAATTGTTCTCAGATTTGAAGCCGAAATCTATGAAAAAGGCACTCAGAAAAATTGAAAAATTGATAAATCACCCCAAATTGCTTAACACGATTTTATCTCAGGAAGTATAAGTGCAAATGAGCTGAATTTTTCAGGGAATATAGTCCTTTGAAAACGATAAAATTCAGTGGAAGATTCAGCTTTCTATCTATAATAGAAAAAAACTTATGACCTTTCAAAGTTTTCCAAAAATCTAAATCATAAGGTAGGTACCTTCTTACTAAAACGATGAAATTTCAAATTTTTTTTTGTCGAGATTTTGTATCCTAATGGTCAATCAACATACCCCAAACTCCATACACAAAATTATTCTCAGATTTGAAGCCGAAATCTAGGAAAAAAGGCACTCAGAAAAATTGAAAAATGGATAAATCACCCTAAATTGCTTAACACGATTTTATCTCAGGAAGTATAAGTGCAAATGAGCTGAAATTTTCAGGGAATATAGTCCTTTGAAAACGATAAAATTCAGTGAAAGATTCAGCTTTCTATCTATAATAGAAAAAAACTTATGACCTTTCAAAGTTTTCCAAAAATCTAAATCATAAGGTAGGTACCTTCTTACTAAAACGATGAAATTTCAAATTTTTTTTTGTCGAGATTTTGTATCCTAATGGTCAATTAACATACCCCAAACTCCATACACAAAATTATTCTCAGATTTGAAGCCGAAATCTAGGAAAAAAGGCACTCAGAAAAATTGAAAAATGGATAAATCACCCTAAATTGCTTAACACGATTTTATCTCAGGAAGTATAAGTGCAAATGAGCTGAATTTTTCAGGGAATATAGTCCTTTGAAAACGATAAAATTCAGTGAAAGATTCAGCTTTCTATCTATAATAGAAAAAAACTTATGACCTTTCAAAGTTTTCCAAAAATCTAAATCATAAGGTAGGTACCTTCTTACTAAAACGATGAAATTGCAATTTTTTTTTTGTTGAGATTTTGTATCCTAATGGTCAATCAACATCCCCCAAACTCCATACACTAAATTATTCTCAGATTTGAAGCCGAAATCTAGGAAAAAAGGCACTCAGAAAAATTGAAAAATGGATAAATCACCCTAAATTGCTTAACACTATTTTATCTCCGGAAGTATAAGTACAAATGAGCTGAATTTTTCAGGGATTATAGTCCTTTGAAAACGATAAAATTCAGTGAAAGATTCAGCTTTCTATCTATAATAGAAAAAAAGTTATGACCTTTCAAAGTTTTCTAAAATCTAAATCATAAGGTAGGTACCCTCTTACTAAAACGATGAAATTTCAATTTTTTTTTTGTTGAGATTTTGTATCCTAATGGTCAATCAACATCCCCCAAACTCCATACACTAAATTATTCTCAGATTTGAAGCCGAAATCTAGGAAAAAAGGCACTCAGAAAAATTGAAAAATGGATAAATCACCCTAAATTGCTTAACACGATTTTATCTCAGGAAGTATAAGTGCAAATGAGCTGAAATTTTCAGGGAATATAGTCCTTTGAAAACGATAAAATTCAGTGAAAGATTCAGCTTTCTATCTATAATAGAAAAAAACTTATGACCTTTCAAAGTTTTCCAAAAATCTAAATCATAAGGTAGGAAAATTGAAAAATTGATAAATCACCCCAATTTAAATTGGGTCAATACTATTTTTCTGTTCTAAATTTTATTTAGCTACTTTTAATTTTCCTCTTTTTTTCCTAAAAGTTTCACAATCCTTCACTAGTTTCCTAACATTTTTGCATAAATAATTGATCATTAATCATTTTTATGTTATCATCAATAATAACAAGACTGAAAAAAAATATAATATGGAATCCGATATACGGCAGCTGGAAAACTGGAGGCCAAAAAGGGCAGATTTATATCTGACGGTTGTTCTTAACCTCGTTAAAACTGACATAAAGGGATGTCGTAAAACGACCCTTAAACTTTTACTGTTATTCCGATATGCGACGCTGTAATTGGATGTTTGACCTTACAAATTAATAAAACAATACAATAATGAGGAAAAAACAACATAATTTCTAATTGTTTCAGATCGTTTTTGCCTTGGCCATCGTTTCTCTATCTGGCGCCACTGTCCTTCATAATCTACAAGGATTTGGACATGGTCACTCATCAGCTTCAACAATAGCCATCGGACATGTAACAGAACAGGTAAACAATATTGTCCACCCATATGTCCATTCAATAAAAAAAATATTATAGGTACTCTCTTCGATTCCTGTTGTCCAAACAAGAGTGGAACCTTACGACCCTCATCCAATTTATGGTTATTCTTACACTGTCCATGATGGACACACTGGCGATTCAAAATACCAAATCGAAACGAGAAACGGCGACTCTGTAAGGGGCCAATATAGGTAGGTGAATTCGATATTCTGTTAATGGAAATCTCTATTCGAGTGTAAAAGATAATACTTGAAGTTTAATTTTGAGGAAGAGTAAATGGGTTTTAAAAGGGAATTGGATATTCAGTTTTTAGAATATTCCATTGCTTTCGAAATTGGTAAATTCTTTGCCATAATCACAACGCAAAATTTGTCATGCTTAAAAGGTCTTTTCATGAGTTTCACAAAAGTCTTTCTGTATTAAAGAAAAAACGACACCTAAAGTTACAATCTCCAATCTAAGAGCTCTTTTTCCCTTAAAGCGTGCTAATCTGCTGATTCCAAGTACAAATATTAAAAAATATGACCGCGTGATCATTAAAAGAACTCACACAAAAAAAAAGCAGAAGAGGTTTCGCGGCACCCACTGAAAAGATTTTTAAACAGGTAATTAAAATGCATGCCACGCGAATTTTTATATAAAACGAAGAGTCGGATGTAATTGCAAGCTCTCTAGACTAGAGAAAGCTCTTTCATATTTTTTGCGAATAATTATTAAAAGCTGAAACAGAAATAGCAATTAATAATTTTGATTCTTTTTTTAGTTTGACTGAGCCTGACGGCAGCAGACGCATTGTGGATTATGCCGCAGAGCCTCATACAGGATTTAATGCTATTGTACATAGGACTCAACATTAATTTTTGCTTTATTAGTTAGGTAAGAGTGCCCTTGCCCTGTATTATTTAAATATAAAATTATGAAAAATAAGTTTATCATTTTATCCCAACATCGAGTTTTAGAAAATAAAGATGAAGTATATAAAAAATTACCTTCGGTGTTGTGACACGTCTTCCGGGAGGCAAAAAAAAAGACCTGTAAATTTTGTAACGTGTCAAGCTAAGCTGCGACTGGAAAATTTATCCCGAGGAATTTTCAAAGGGAAGCTTCGAAATTAACTGGGTTCTTTTTTAATTCGGTTTGAAATGTCCCGTTAAAATGTGGAGGTGAAATCTTAATGAGGGTTGTAATGGAGGATTTCCGTTTCAAATGCTTCAAAGATTTTTGCTTTAGGATGTAATTATAAACTTTTCGAAATGACGCTTTTAAAATACCTAAATTTTGAAGTTGTTATAACGATATATAGGAACAATTATGAAACTTTTTAATCGTGCCAGTATAAATTATGAGTCATATGTAGAAATAATAAGGGTAAAACTAAAATGAACATTACGATAATTATTAGAAGATTATTAAATTTTGAACAATCCTGATTTTTTGTTCTGATTCTAACATTGTTTGTTGACAACAAAAACTATTTCAAAGAAGATTCCTCAAAATCCACATCAAACTAACCGGAGTATAAAATTAGATAGGGGGGGTGAGTTTCTCTTCAAACTTCCCGAGGTTCCACTAAGTTAACTTAATACAAGTAAAGTTGGATGAAATGAGATAAAAGCGGTTTTCTGGGGCACACATAAACGGAGGAATTATTTCTCGAGTAAGTAGGCATAACAGAATCAACATTTTTATAATCAAATCATTTCCATCAAATTTATTTTAAATTAAAAATAAAACGAATTACAACTTCCGAGCGAGTCGCCGGGCATTTTCCGAGAGGAGCACAAACTTACGAGATTTTAAATAATGAACTGTCAAGATCATAATAACTTCTCTTGTCCGCTAGGAAGATTTCGTTTCACAAACTCAACCAGATTAGATTTTAAAAGAATAAAGGTTTTTTTTTTTATAATGGTTTTGTATACTATAATCTGCATCATATTTCCGTGGATGTATATACAGGGTGATTTACGTAGCCCGTGCATTAGAAGCTTTTGAGGTTGCAGGGGGACCAGAAATTTCAAATTTGGTTTGTAATTTTGACCAGACAAAAGTGACAATCTTGAATCTTGGACTTGGTATCAAAAATAATTTTCAGGTGGAAAAATTGTCTATCAGCAGTTGTGAGCAAGTTTACTAGAATTTGTATTCGCGGCAATTCACAAAATGCCAGTATTTGCTGACAGCTGCTGTAAGACAAATTTTGATCTAAGGGCCAAATTATGGACTGACTGGTTGTTACCTAGCAGGTACTTTCTATGCTCTAGTGCATAAGACTAAACACACAATCAGTTAACTATAAATGAGCCAACGCCCAACTTTGAATGAAATTTTCGAAAAATTCGCACTGAAAAACGTTGTGACACTTAAGGACGCTAGAATTCAACTGACTAAACTTTGATGTTAAATGAATAAATAACAATGTTGTTAATGAGATAACAGGATTTCGAATAAATTAGGCAAGTTCGCAAAACTTGTTATCAGCAGCAGAAATTATAACTATTTGAAATTAATATTTTGTGGCTTGCACAGAGGCGCCGACTACGTGGGTGCTCGAGCATCGGATGTCGGTTCTGTTGGTTTTATCAAGGTTTTATCTGTAACTTCTGTCAATTATGTTTTATTTCCATATTTGCGTTCCTCAAAGTAACCGGAATTTTCAGTAAACATCTGTTGACCGATTCGGTTACTTTAGCTCTGTTCCAGCAGACATGAAAACCTTTATAGAACGGTAATTTCCAGTCGATCAATCCATTTGTCAATTAGGAAAAACGTTCAACTTATTGAAAAATAGGTGGGCAACTGGAAATTATTGGTTCTGGAACGGTTCTCATGTCTGTTGGAACAGAACTAATGGCTAACGTTTGGTTATATTTGGATCATAACCTTATATAGGTTATGTTCCGATATTAACTCTGTCAGTACTGAATTTACTGGACGCCGTTCCGACATTATTTTCAGTAGGTACACTGGATTCAGTCGATTCAGTACTGAATGACCACAAGAGTACCCTGTTGAAATTGGAACGGCAAATGACAGTAAAATCAGTACAGTAAATCCAGTTCTGGCAGTTGATATCAATCAATTCTCCCATTTGTATTCGAATTCGTCAATTTTGGGGTTGGCCCGGGTCAAATCCCCAAAATATCAGATCAAAAGCGCCGCCGATCTAGAGATTTTCCCACGGTATCGAAAAACTTCCCAGGCTCAAGTGCCCCCGGCTATCAGACCAAATACCCACCTCTACTACGTAAAAACTCCCCTCCAGCACAGTCATCATACCACTAACCCACCTCCACTATACCCCTTTCCGTGAAGCTCCTACCCTGAGGTGGCACTCTTTACCCACCTGCACTGTAAACCCTCTTCCGTAAAGCCCTCCATTAATCTATTTTCAAAAGGCTTTAACCCTGAGATGGAACTTCATTATATCCCTTCACTTTCTTGAAAACTAAAGAATATTTAACCATTTCCTGCATTTGTATTCTAATTCGTCAATTTTGGGGTTGGCCCGGGTGAAATCCCCAAAATTTCAGATCAAAAGCGCCGCCGATCTAGAGATTTTCCCACGGTATCGAAAAACTTCCCAGGCTCAAGTGCCCCCGGGACCAATACCCACCTCTACTACGTAAAAACTCCCCTCCAGCACAGTCATCATACCACTAAAGTTCGCCCTACGAGTCTAGCACTATGAAAAGAATGCGGATAAAAAAATTGCAATATTGCCTATTTGACTTCCAATAAAAAATACCTTAATATTTATTTATATTATACACCTACATTTATAAGGAAAAAGTAATATTCAAAAACGTTGCACGCTCGCCTATGACAAGCAGCTTGAAGCTCGAAATTAATGGCGTTATGTTCCCTTGCTCTTCAGACGTCGTAGTGCTAGACTCGTAAGGCGAACTTTACCCACCTACACTATACCCCTTTCCGTGAAGCTCCTACCCTGAGGAGGCACTTTTTACCCACCTGCACTGTAAACCCTCTTCCGTAAAGCCCTCCATTAATCTATGTTCAAAAGGCTCTTACCCTGAGATGGCACTTCATTATATCCCTTCACTTTCTTGAAAACTAAAAAATATTCAACCAATTCTCCCATTTGTATTCGAATTCGTCAATTTTGGGGTTGGCCCGGGTCAAATCCCCAAAATTTCAGATCAAAAGCGCCGCCGATCTAGAGATTTTCCCACGGTATCGAAAAACTTCCCAGGCTCAAGTGCCCCCGGGACCAATACCCACCTCTACTACGTAAAAACTCCCCTCCAGCACAGTCATCATACCACTAAAGTTCGCCCTACGAGTCTAGCACTATGAAAAGAATGCGGATAAAAAAATTGCAATATTGCTTATTTGACTTCCAATAAGAAATACCTTAATATTTATTTATATTATACACCTACATTTATAAGGAAAAAGTAATATTCAAAAACGTTGCACGCTCGCCTATGACAAGCAGCTTGAAGCTCGAAATTAATGGCGTTATGTCCCCTTGCTCTTCAGACGTCGTAGTGCTAGACTCGTAAGGCGAACTTTACCCACCTCCACTATACCCTCTTCCGTGAAGCTCCTACCCTGAGGGGGCACTTTTTACCCACCTGCACTGTAAACCCTCTTCCGTAAAGTCCTCCATTAATCTATTTTCAAAAGGCTCTTACCCTGAGATGGCACTTTATTATATCCTTTCACTTTCTTGAAAACTGAAGAATATTTAACCAATTCTTCCATTTGTATTAGAATTCGTCAATTTTGGGGTTGGTCCGGGTCAAATCCTCAAAATTTCAGATCAAAAGCGCCGCCGATCTAGAGATTTTCCCACGGTATCGAAAAACTTCCCAGGCTCAAGTGCCCCCGGGACCAATACCCACCTCTACTACGTAAAAACTCCCCTCCAGCACAGTCATCATACCACTAAAGTTCGCCCTACGAGTCTAGCACTATGAAAAGAATGCGGATAAAAAAATTGCAATATTGCCTATTTGACTTCCAATAAGAAATACCTTAATATTTATTTATATTATACACCTACATTTATAAGGAAAAAGTAATATTCAAAAACGTTGCACGCTCGCCTATGACAAGCAGCTTGAAGCTCGAAATTAATGGCGTTATGTTCCCTTGCTCTTCAGACGTCGTAGTGCTAGACTCGTAAGGCGAACTTTACCCACCTACACTATACCCCTTTCCGTGAAGCTCCTACCCTGAGGAGGCACTTTTTACCCACCTGCACTGTAAACCCTCTTCCGTAAAGCCCTCCATTAATCTATGTTCAAAAGGCTCTTACCCTGAGATGGCACTTCATTATATCCCTTCACTTTCTTGAAAACTAAAAAATATTCAACCAATTCTCCCATTTGTATTCGAATTCGTCAATTTTGGGGTTGGCCCGGGTCAAATCCCCAAAATTTCAGATCAAAAGCGCCGCCGATCTAGAGATTTTCCCACGGTATCGAAAAACTTCCCAGGCTCAAGTGCCCCCGGGACCAATACCCACCTCTACTACGTAAAAACTCCCCTCCAGCACAGTCATCATACCACTAAAGTTCGCCCTACGAGTCTAGCACTATGAAAAGAATGCGGATAAAAAAATTGCAATATTGCCTATTTGACTTCCAATAAGAAATACCTTAATATTTATTTATATTATACACCTACATTTATAAGGAAAAAGTAATATTCAAAAACGTTGCACGCTCGCCTATGACAAGCAGCTTGAAGCTCGAAATTAATGGCGTTATGTTCCCTTGCTCTTCAGACGTCGTAGTACTAGACTCGTAAGGCGAATTTTACCCACCTACACTATACCCCTTTCCGTGAAGCTCCTACCCTGAGGAGGCACTTTTTACCCACCTGCACTGTAAACCCTCTTCCGTAAAGCCCTCCATTAATCTATGTTCAAAAGGCTCTTACCCTGAGATGGCACTTCA